TTGAGGTGTTTTATCTCCGTTATGCGCGCCGTGAAGGTTCTCTGTACATTTTCTAGGTCAGCAATTTCACCTGCCTTGAAAGGTGCTGTTAGTGTGCAGCAATATTCCAGCCTAGATAGAACAAGTGACCTGAAGAGTGTCATCATGGGCTTGGCAGCCCTCGTTTTGAAGGTTCTCATTATCCATCCTGTCATTTTTCTAGCAGATGCGATTGATACAATGTTATGGTCCTTGAAGGTGAGATCCTCCGACATGATCACTCCCAGGTCTTTGACGTTGGTGTTTCGCTCTATTTTGTGGCCAGAATTTGTTTTGTACTCTGATGAAGATTTAATTTCCTCGTGTTTACCATATCTGAGTAATTGAAATTTCTCATCGTTGAACTTCATATTGTTTTCTGCAGCCCACTGAAAGATTTGGTTGATGTCCGCCTGGAGCCTTGCAGTGTCTGCAATGGAAGACACTGTCATGCAGATTCGGGTGTCATCTGCAAAGGAAGACACGGTGCTGTGGCTGACATCCTTGTCTATGTCAGATATGAGGATGAGGAACAAGATGGGAGCGAGTACTGTGCTTTGTGGAACAGAGCTTTTCACCGTGCCTGCCTCGGACTTTACTCTGTTGACTACTACTCTCTGTGTTCTGTTAGTGAGGAAATTATAGATCCATCGACCGACTTTTCCTGTTATTCCTTTAGCACGCATTTTGTGCGCTATTACGCCATGGTCACACTTGTCGAAGGCTTTTGCAAAGTCTGTATATATTACATCTGCATTCTTTTTGTCTTCTAGTGCATTTAGGACCTTGTCATAGTGATCCAATAGTTGAGACAGACAGGAGCGACCTGTTCTAAACCCATGTTGCCCTGGGTTGTGTAACTGATGGGTTTCTAGATGGGTGGTGATCTTGCTTCTTAGGACTCTTTCAAAGATTTTTATGATTGGGATGTTAGTGCTATCGGTCTGTAGTTCTTTGCTGTTGCTTTACTGCCCCCTTTGTGGAGTGGGGCTATGTCTGTTGTTTTTAGTAACTGTGGGACGACCCCCGTGTCCATGCTCCCTCTCCAGTGAAAAGTTATGTTAACTCTTTCGGGGCCTAGTTCCTAGGTCTTTTGTGTATCCATATACTCTTGCGCTACCGTCCACAGGATGGATATGGGGTGCACAATAAACTAGCCACTTCGGTGGCAAAATCTAAAAATCTAATCTCTAGGCTGGAATATTGCTGTACACTAACGGCATTTCCAAGGTAGGCGAAATTGCAGACCTTGAGAATATACAGAGAACTTTCACGACGTTTAAATACAATAAAGCACCTAAATCATAGGGAACAGTTGAAGTCCCTTGATTTGTACTCCTCGGAATGCAGCTGAAAAAGATACATGATAATATTTACACTTTGAAAAATCATACAGAGACTAGCCCCAAATCTGTACACGAAAATTACTCCCTAGAAAAGCAAAAGACTCGGCAGATGCAACATCCTCCAATGAAAAGCAGGGGCGCCACGAATGCGTTAAGAAACAACACAGTAAGTGTTAGGGGCCCAAGGCTGTTCAGCTGCCTCCCAGCATACATGAGGCGGATTACCAATAAACCCCTGGCTGTCTTTAAGGAGCTGGACAGACACGTAAAGTCAGTACCTGACCAGCCGGGCTGTGGTTTGTACATTGATTCATGTGCAGTCAGCAGTAACAGCCTGGTTGATCAGGCCCTGATCCACCGCGAGGCCTGGTCACGGATCAGGCCTCGGGGGCGTTGACCTCCGAAACCCCTTCCAGGTAGATTAGATTTTGCCACCGAAGTGGCTAGTTTATTGTGCACCCCATATCTATCCTGTGGACGGTCGCGCGAGAGTATATGAATACACAAAAGGCCCAGGAACTAGGCCCCAAATGGTTAACAGGAATACATATGGATTTATATCTACATATCTGTAGTTCACTTATCTGTTACAAGCAAATTTAGAAAATGTGCTTAGTATATCTGGTATCTTATTTTCATTAATAAGATATCTTGACATGTCACATAGGTTATTATACTGTCTGTCTCTGTATTCCTCAGTAAGTGTTCAAGACAGTGACCGGTGGCCTGGTGGCTGGGTGGCCTGGTGGCCTGGTGGCTGGTGGCCTGGTGGCCTGGTGGCTGGTGGCCTGGTGGCCTGGTGGCTGGGTGGCCTGGTGGCTGGGTGGCCTGGTGGCTGGGTGGCCTGGTGGCCTGGTGGCTGGTGGCCTGGTGGCCTGGTGGCTGGGTGGCCTGGTGGCTGGGTGGCCTGGTGGCCTGGTGGCTGGTGGCCTGGTGGCTGGGTGGTCTGGTGGCCTGGTGGCTGGGTGGCCTGGTGGCTGGGTGGCCTGGTGGCCTGGTGGCTGGGTGGCCTGGTGGCCTGGTGGCTGGTGGCCTGGTGGCGGGTGGCCTGGTGGCTGGGTGGCCTGGTGGCCTGGTGGCTGGTGGCCTGGTGGCTGGGTGGCCTGGTGGCCTGGTGGCTGGGTGGCCTGGTGGCTGGTGGCCTGGTGGCCTGGTGGCCTGGTGGCTGGGTGGCCTGGTGGCCTGGTGGCTGGTGGCTGGGTGGCCTGGTGGCTGGGTGGCCTGGTGGCTGGTGGCCTGGTGGCTGGGTGGCCTGGTGGCCTGGTGGCTGGGTGGACTGGTGTCTTGGTGGCTGGTGGCCTGGTGGCTGGGTGGCCTGGTGGCCTGGTGGCTGGTGGCCTGGTGGCCTGGTGGCTGGTGGCCTGGTGGCCTGGTGGCTGGGTGGCCTGGTGGCTGGGTGGCCTGGTGGCTGGGTGGCCTGGTGGCCTGGTGGCTGGTGGCCTGGTGGCCTGGTGGCTGGGTGGCCTGGTGGCTGGGTGGCCTGGTGGCCTGGTGGCTGGTGGCCTGGTGGCTGGGTGGCCTGGTGGCCTGGTGGCTGGGTGGCCTGGTGGCCTGGTGGCTGGGTGGCCTGGTGGCTGGGTGGCCTGGTGGCCTGGTGGCTGGGTGGCCTGGTGGCCTGGTGGCTGGTGGCCTGGTGGCTGGGTGGCTGGGTGGCCTGGTGGCTGGTGGCCTGGTGGCCTGGTGGCCTGGTGGCTGGTGGCCTGGTGGCTGGGTGGCCTGGTGGCCTGGTGGCTGGTGGCCTGGTGGCCTGGTGGCTGGTGGCCTGGTGGCTGGGTGGCCTGGTGGCTGGGTGGCCTGGTGGCCTGGTGGCTGGTGGCTGGTGGCCTGGTGGCTGGGTGGCCTGGTGGCTGGGTGGCCTGGTGGCCTGGTGGCTGGTGGCCTGGTGGCTGGGTGGCCTGGTGGCCTGGTGGCTGGTGGCTGGTGGCTGGTGGCTGGTGGCCTGGTGGCTGGGTGACCTGGTGGCCTGGTGGCTGGTGGCCTGGTGGCTGGTGGCCTGGTGGCTGGTGGCCTGGTGGCTGGGTGGCCTGGTGGCTGGGTGGCCTGGTGGCTAAAGCTCCCGCTTCACACACGGAGGGCCCGGGTTCGATTACCGGCGGGTAGAAACATTCCGACACGTTTCCTTACACCTGTTGTCCTGTTCACCTAGCAGCAAATAGGTACCTGAGTGTTAGTCGACTGGTGTGGGTCGCATCCTGGGGGACAAGATTAAGGACCCCAATGGCAATAAGTTAGACAGTCCTCGATGACGCACTGACTTTCTTGGGTTATCCTGGGTGGCTAACCCCCCGGGGTTAAAAATCCGAACAAAATCTTATCTTACCTTGACCATATGCCTGATCACATAATTTGCATTTAGTTTGATCATCTGTGTGTCTGCCAAACTGCCAGAAGTACTTGTAACCAAGCCTAAGACTGGCCACTACAACATCAGTCAGTCTGTTCACATTGCAAGTTGCTCCATAAACATACTTATCTATGTAGGTGTACGCCAGGTAGAGGAACATTTGGACGGGGAGCCATAAATCAACATATTCATAATCATTAAGAAAGCCTGTCGTTGTTGACTCATGTAAAATAATAATAAAAAAAAAATTCTCATATATAAACATTATGCTAACAGTTTGTTTGGTTAGTTTTAATACAATTTAATGAGGCTGTATGTTTTTAAGAGATTTACTTTGTGCCTTCCAATGTTTTATTACACGTTAACCACATTATTTTTGCGCAGCATAAAGAAATAAAAAAAAGTATTTGCATTTGCTAAGCATTTCGGGCAATTCAGTAAATAGGCAAGTAAGAAGTAAGTTCGTTTAGTTATAATTTTGCATAATTTATGGATGATTACAATTGTCTCTTATATTAACATACGTATAAATTATCTAGGATAACAAAAGTCAACACATTGGCCTATTCTAGGTAAAGTAGGTAACCTTACCCCTTAAAGGGAGGTTCCTTGACGCTGGTCAGGGCTCTTGATCTAGGGAATTGGATTTGTGCTCCAGTTCCCTGAACTGACCCTTAATACCTTCCTTCCCCGCCCATCCTACAGGCGCTGTATAATTCCTACGGGTTTAGCGCTTCCCATGGTAATAATAATAATAATAATAATAATAATAATAATAATAATAATAATAATAATAATAATAATAATAATAATAATAATAGGCAATCTGACTCAAGAAATCGTAATGACACGATTGCAAACAAACCATACCTCACGGGTTCAATCTCGGCCGGGGGTATGGTTTAATAGGCAATCTCACCGTAGCTCGGTAGGCAACATTCTCACCTTACACACCAAGTGTCCGCCGTTCAATTCCCGGCACGGGCGGAAATGTTGAGCATGTTTCCTTACACCTGCTGTCCTTGTTCACCTATCAGTAAGTAGGTACCTGGGTGTTAGTCGACTGGTGTGGGTGGCATCCAAAGGAAAAAATAAACCAAAGTTGCCTAATAAGGGGCTTTCTCTATAGTATGTCATTGATGTCAGCTAGGTCTGTATAAGATGTATCTTGTACGTGTAGAAATAAAGATTATTATTACTATCATTATTACATATATAATGAGCCAAGTTAGGGTATTTTTCCAAATTTTTTTGTGGGTCTAAAAATAAAGAGGGAGTCTTGTTGACCCTTAACAAGCTTAACAACAAGCGCTGGAGTGATGGCGTCGGTGGCGGTCTTATTGCGTCGGTTTCTCAAAAAACCTTCTTATATTAACAATGTCACTCGGATTACACAAGTGCATCGGGTAATTTCAATCATGGGTCATTAGTGTAGCTTCCAGAATGGTAATGAAGGTTTATCATGAACAGGTTTAACTAACATTGAAGAGTTTTGACTGCCGTCTCATTGTGGTGGTGGAGTAAATATAAGTTTATTTAGATACAGGTAGGTACACATAAGTACAATTATCATACATAGTTTAACGTGTAAATTACGTAGAGTAATCCCAAAAAAGTGACTTATTTAGGTAAAGGTACACAAGTACAGTTACACAAATTAAGGTGTGTACAATTTTTATATTAACGGTGCCCCGTGGCCTGGTGGCTGAAGCTCTGGCTTCACACGGTGAGGTCCGGGTTCGATTTCCAGCGAGGGTAGAAACATTAGACGTGTTTCTGTACACCGGTTGTCTATGTTCATCAGTAAAATGGGTACCTGGGTGTTAGTGGACTGGTGTGGGTCGCATCCTGGGACAAAACTGACCAAATTTGCCCGAAATGCTCAGCATAACAAGGGACTTTCTATATAGTAGTATGTCATTGATGTCAGCTAGGACTGTATACCTTGTACATGTACTTGTAGAAATATATATTAATTATCATACATACCTGGAGAGGGTTTTGGAGGTCAACGCCTTGTGGTCCGGTCCATGACCAGGCCTTGTGGATCAGGACCTGATCAATCACTGTTACTGCTGGCTGCACACAAACCGACATAAGAACCACAGCCTGGCTTGTCAGGTACTGACTTGAGGTGTTGGTCCAGCGCCTTCTTGAAGTCAACCAGGGGTCTATTGGTAATTTCCCTTATGTATGCTGGGAGACAGTTGAACAGTCTCAGGCCCCTGACACTTGTGTTGTCTCTCCTGCTTTTCACTGGAGGAATGTTGGGGAGGATAGTAACATATGCCTAGAGCTATCATTCAGTTCCCCACAAGAGAATTGAATGATAGCTCTAGGCCTTTTGTGTTGCAATAAAAAATAATCAGTTGCTTGCAGTGTTGTAGAAATGAGTAGGAAGTCCAAGCAGATTTAGTTCAGAGGAACTAATTGCTTGGACTTCCTACTCATTTCTACAACACTGCAAGTTCCTTATGTGTTAATTGCAACATGAAAGGCCTAGAAGTATAATTCAGTGCCCCCTGTGATTTTGCATCTTGTAGCTCTTGTTTGTGATAATTGCATATAACACATTTATTATTATTATTATAAGAACATAAGAACATAAGAACGAAGGAACACTGCAGAAGGCCTACTGGCCCATGCGAGGCAGGTTCAAGTCCCTACCGGCTTAAGCCAATGCACCCAACCTAGTCAGGTCAGGTCACATTGACTTAAGGGAGGAACACGGCAACCGACCTGTTAGCACAAGCTATCAGGTCCAACTCACACCCACCCACATCTACTCATGTATTTATCCAACCTATTTTTAAAGCTACACAACGTTCTGGCCTCTATAACTGTACTTGGGAGTTTGTTCCACTCATCCACAACTCTATTACCATAGGGAGTCGACAGCTCCTGTGGAGTTGGGGATGGAAGGTATTCAGGCTCATTTCAGGGAACTGAAGCACAGATCCAATTCCCTAGATCAAGAGCCCCTCACCAGCATCAAGGAACCTCCATTGAGGGGTATAACATATGTAAATTACCTAGGATAACCCCCAAACAAGTCAAAGTGACTTATTTACATTGGTACAGTATAGCTTTGACTTTTTGGGTTATCCTAGGTAATTTACATATATGAAGAATTGAGACACTTATGCAACATATGGGAATCTTCATTGAAGAAACATTTTGCCACACAGTGGCTTCATCAGTCTCATACAAAGCAGGAAGGTATAAGGAGAGGAGGAGTTTGAGGTAATCAGTCTCTCAGCCTGGAGTCGTCATGTTCAGTCCATCAGTCTTGTAGAAAGTACAGCACAGGGCTGTAGCAGTGGTTTATATACTGTAGTCAGGTGAAGCGAAGCAGGAGGAGGCAGGGTCATAGTGGAACCATCCACTAGTCTAAGTAGGTCTTCATCCAAAGATTGGACAAGTTTGAAGAATTCTTTGTATCAAGATCCCAAGATCATGCAGTGTCTGACAGATGTGATGAATGGTTTGAAAACCGACAAGTTGAAGAACTTAGACTAGTGGATGGTTCCACTATGACCCTGCCTCCTCCTGCTTCGCCTCACCTGACTATAGTATATAAGCCACTGCTATGGCCCTGTGCTGTACTTTCTACAAGATTGATGGATTGAACACATCGAGTCCAGGCTGAGGGACTGATTACCTGAAACTCCTCCTCTCCTTATACTTTCCTGCTTTGTATGAGACTGATGAAGTCACTGTGTGGTGAAACGTTTCTTCAATAAAGATTTCCATATGTTGCATGTCTCATTTCTTCAGCTTGCCAGTTTTCAAAACCATTCATCATACAATTTACGTATATGTTCCTAGGTATGATAATTGTACTTTGTGTACCTGTACTTAAATAAACTTAATATCTACTTTATTTCATATTATACATGGTATGTAATGTCAACAAGTTGATGAGTAAGACATTCTCATCATTTTGTAGTTTTATTAAAATGTTTTCTACATCCTGCAGGCTACCAAGCATTTTTTTTTAGGTTAGTCTGGGGTAATTTACACATGTTACTGTATATGATAATTGTAGTCACCTAAATTTGTGTAACTGTACTTATGTGAACCTGTACCTAAACAAACTTAATTACTTACTGGGTCTTCTATGAGTATTTTCAATTATTCACTCTACTTTGGTGGCTCGCATTATAAGTCTACTATAGAATTTCATTAGAAATATGTTCAACTGACGTCCCACATCTAGATCTCTTCTTTCTGAACATTCTTATAAATGTCTATATATATAATTACGTAGCAAGCATCCACAGTAGAAACAAGCCACATTAACTTAATTGAGTTTTCCTGGTTACTCTTATGTAATAACACAGCCTCTCAAGGAAGGTCCCTTGATGCTGGTGAGGGGCTCTTGATTTTAGAAATTGAACCTGTGCTTCAGTTCATTAAATCAAGTCGGAATGCCTTTCATTCCCCAAGGCACTATATAACCCCCTGTGGGTTTAGTGTTCCCTCATAAATGTAGTAGTAGTAATAACAGTAGAACAAATGAACACTGCAATAGGCCTGTTGCTCCCCCCCACCACACACACACACATGCACATGCACACATGCACGCACGTACGCACATGTAACCTGTCCAACCTATATTTAACTTACTAACCCCTTTTACTGTCCAGGCCTTCAAAATTAAAATTGTCCTCAATGTCAAAATTTAAAAGAAACTTATAGTAATAATAATAATAATTATTTACTACAAGTACATGTACAAGGTATACAGACCTAGCTGGCATCAATGACATACTACTATATAGAAAGCCCCCTTGTTATGCTGAGCATTTTGGGCAAATTAGGTCAGTTTTCTTCCAGGATGCAACCCACTCCAGTCGACTAACTTCCAGGTACCTATTTTACTGATGGGTGAATATAAACAACCGGTGTAAAGAAACACTTCCAATGTTTCTACCCTCACTGGGAATCGGACCCAGACCCTCGCTGTGTGCGAGAGCTTTAGCCACCAGGCCACAGGGTTCATTTTCCTGGTGGTAATACAACAACAAAAAAAAATCATTACTTAGTGAAATGCAGAGGCATGAAGTTGAAAATCAATGATCCGTTGGTGGCAACATTGGTGATTGCCATGCACACTAATAGTGTCCTGAGTACATTGTTAACAAAACATGTTTACACAACAACATAAACATACACAGGTACAAATGCTTCACACTATTACTGTTCTAACATTTATGTACTTATATTCAAGCACTGCTCATGTTCCTAGAACTGTTGCAGTCTGTGGATGCCTTGAAGCACTGCTCCATACACAGTTGTGTTTTATACATTTCTATGCAAAAAACATGCATGTCTGCACTTTGCTTGTGCTATGTTGTGTGTGCACAGGCATAACATCTCTTCTGAGCCTATTTCTTCTTTTCTGCAGCAGGAAGTTTAGGAAGTGATCACCAAATTTCAATGAGAGGTTATTCGATGATTATCTCTCAGTGATGTTTCCAGCACCCTGAACATCACTTTTGGTCATTACGTATATGTTTGAAACCGAAGACCTCATCATCAGTTCCATAATTATCATTGTTGGAGCTGTCAATGAGGAATAAAATTTGTTCCCTGGGAGTGAGGTTTTTATGTCCACTCTGCATAGTGAATAAGGTGTACTAAATAGTGTTCCCACACTACACTGCAGGGGCCCCAATTTTTTGTCTACTGTGCACATGGACTGCGCAAGTCTGTTCTCTCGTATGTAAGCTGACCAGGCCTCTCCCACCAAATTTGAAGTTGCTAGAATTTAGGCATAGATCTACGTTAACCCTTAAACTGTCCAAACGTAGATCTACGTTCAATTTTACATGCTTTCTTATGTAAAAAACATAGATCTACATTTGGAGCGCTACGTGAGTGAACATAGATCTATGTTTGGACAGTTTAAGGGTTAAGGGCCATGGCATCAATGATATAGTTCTATGTGACATCCACTGAAGAGTTAAATCTACCTTAAGTTACAACGTTATAGAAGTCCATTGTAAAACTTTAAATTCATCACTGTTTGAAACCTGAATAAGAACTTGCTTAATATTAATAAGGTTACAACAGCATTTAACTGGATATGGCTTCTGAAAAAAAAAAAAGAGCTCAAATTTGAAGCATAATTTATTATTCTGTATTTTTAAATTTTGTTTTTGCCATGACCTCTAGTAACCCAACCTGCATGTTGTAATGGTAGTGGTAATAATTGTTCCAGTAAATTGTTTAACAGAGCAAGCTAATGAAAATTTTGGTGTGGATGAGCTTGTTTACTCATTTTCTTATTATTTTCAGGGAAGTGTATATTTCCTGTCAACCTCTGCTCATTTAAATGCACGGTTTTATGAATCGTCTCTTGAAGCTGTTAAGGATGTCCCTACAGGCTCTAAGCTACTGGTTGGAGGTCAGCTTTATATTTAGTTATTGAGTAATCATAGTGCATTTTGTATAAAAAACTTCATACTTTACTGCATTGACTTTTTTATATGCATAGTATTGAATGGAAAATACGTAATTGTATTTTCATTTTCTATAAAAGGAATGAAATAATAGTTTTGTATTTTAACATTTGTCACATTGCATTAGTTTTTTCTTTTGAAAGATTAGAAAATTTTAAGATAGTATATGTATTTTTTTAAGGCCTGTAGACTTCATAGCCATTGTTGGAAAAAACTACCCATTGGGAAAGTCAAATTGGTACCACTTCTCCCATTGACTTTTTTTTTTTTAATCTCTGGCTACACTGCAGTGGCAGTGATTATAGAGTGGGAGTTTGTGACATTTGCTCCTTGTTTGTAACACATTTCTTTTGTGAGATTCTGAAGAGAAGTTGTTAAGGTTGGTGGCAGAATTTGTGAGAGTATGTAAAAGATAGAAAATTGAAGATGTAACATAGAAATTTAAGAGTGAAGGGTTAACAAAAAATTTGAAGGCAATGAAAAGTCATCAATTGCCTTTCTCAACTTTTCATTTGAATTGAATCAGAGTGAGTGGAGGGTAAAGTGGATTTGTGACTGATGTGCTGTTTGAGTGTGAGCAAAGTATTGTACATTTTTGAGAGGATTCAGTGGGAAACCAGTTAGCTGACTAGTACTTGAAGACTGGAAGCACACTGCTATACTCATAAAGGAGGGGTAAAGATGTTGCGTTTGGAGGGGCATTGAATCTGATGCTTCAGCACACATCTGACAAGACAGCAAATTGAATGATGACACTAAACACTAATAAGTTTTTTTTGTTTTTTTTTTTTTATTTTTTTTTTTTCTTTATTTTTATTTTTTTTTTTTTTTTTATTTTTTTTTTTTATTTTATTGAAGTGAGAATCCACCATACTGGTGGGGGAATATGCCTGGTGGTTATAAAAAAAAAAATTGTTTCCTGTTTATCCTTTCATGTCTTTCCCCCCACAAAAAAATTCAACACTTGAGATAGACACTGCACATGAAACTCAAAAGTTGCATTTCACCAGGCTTTGGTCTCTGTGGTATCCCGGAGAATCTCATTGGAGCTCTGCTTGAAACTAAGGTGAATAATCTGACTGTTGTAAGCAACAATGCAGGCATTGATAACTTTGGGCTGGGCTTGTTGCTCAACCAGAAACAGATCAAGCGTATGATTTCATCATATGTTGGAGAAAATGCTGAGTTTGAGAGGCAGTACCTGAATGGAGAGTTGGAAGTGGAGTTGACACCTCAGGTAAGTTTTAAGAAATACTGAATGCTTTTATACAAATGTACTAAAACTTTACAATTTCAATTGCTTATCTATGAAAATGGAAACCCCAGTAGATAAGAATTAAATTGGTTTACTGCTTTACCAAAAGTGACCCAAAATTGCTGTTTTCAGCTGGTTAGGTTTGCTTATATTTGTGAAGTTGGGTGCAGTGTTGTAATTATTTTTGTCAAGTAATTATTAGGCTTTAAAATTTTCTCAGCTAACTAAAATCACTGTTGAAGCCTTGCAAGACTCCACTTGCACCTTGCAAACCTGTTTTCTCAAATTCAGTAAGATTACTGCACTGATGATAGTAAGATATTACTGACTCATTACAATCTTACTCAGTATGCAAATTCATCTTGCATTGCTCATTTTATCCCATTACCAAATCATCAAAAGCTTATACAGCCTCTCTTCACCTAGCGACATACTTGTTTACTGACCACTCAGACTTATGACTAGCTCTCAAACTAGTATGCAAACCTAAATTCAGTAATGTATATTAGAGCTGATATCCTCTGTTCTGTTTATTACCGTATATAGTACACTCCTGTTTAAACATTTAAAAATATACCAGAAATGTTATAAATGGTGCAAAGGTGACATTAAAAAAATATCTAAAGATGGTGACACAAATCCACTACCAGTATAGTATGCTCCTTGCTTAATGACCAATTCACTTACCAACCTATTCTTAGGACTGGAACTCCATCGTTAAGTGAGGAGGGGTTGTATATTAAAAAAAAAAGTATGTGTAAAGAATGTCATAACTAAGGAGCCATCAAAAAGTTTTGATATGGGGAGCATCCAGACATACACAAGAATTTTCTTAAATGGTTGGACAATAAACAGTATTTATCTCAGGTGAGGAGGTGAGGGTGAGGAGGGAGAAGGCAAATATATCACAACTAGAATAGAAAAATGGATCAAGAGAAGCACTGTTCTTATGGATGCAGGGGTTAAGTTTCAGCTCCTGGCCCCACTTTTCAATTATGTACTCACAGTTACACTTCCTGGCTTCATTATCTCTCATACCTACTCTAAAACTGTATAGATTCTGCACTCTGTACTTCATAATTATTTGGACTAATGGAGAGGGTAATGGATAATGGGACAAAGGAAAACTTGTAGAAACAATGTACAGGTCAAAGGATTAGTAATTTTAAAAACCATTCAACATTCTGGAATGGAAGAGTAGAAAATTATTTCCTTCGAAAGTTTCATGAGAGCAGGATGGATGCTCTTCTGGTGTAATGGATCCCTCGTAGGAAATTTCCTTGAGGAAATTCGACATGAACGATGCTGACAAATAGATAAAAAAAAAACTTTATGCTTCAGGGTACACTAGCTGAGCGGTGTCGTGCTGGAGGTGCCGGTATTCCTGCATTTTTCACCCCTACAGGTTATGGCACACTTGTCCATGAAGGAGGATCCCCAATCAAGTGAGTAAATCAAGTGTTAGTCATGCTATACCCTGAAATTTTTTTTTTTTTTTGTTTTTCAAGTTTGTTACTTTATTAACCCTTAAACGGTCCAAACGTATATATACGTTTTTTCAACATCTGAAAGTATGTAAAAAAATTTAGATCTTCTTTTTTGTTTTACATTTGAAAACGTGTAAAAAACTTTTATCTACATTTTTTTTTTGTTATATTTGAAAATATGTAAAAAAAAGTAGATCTACTTTTGTAGCACTACGAATTTGAACGTCGATCTGTTTGGACCGTTTAAGGGTTAATTATAACTGCCTATTACATAATACATGTAGTGACCAAATTTTCTCTCTCACTCTCTTTCCCACTTTTTTATTTACACTTTGCTTGCTCTGTATTTATCACAGATGACATCTTTTTTTTTTTTACCATAGTGCACTATGGCCTACCTCATACCAGGTTTGACTTTTTTTTTTTTTTTTAGCTTTACGATTCCTTGTTCTGTATATATCAGAGATGCTGATTTTTTCTCTTGGTGCACTATGGCCTATCTTGTATCAATTTTTACAGGCTTTTTTCAAGGAATGGGAGCACAGGTCCAATTCTTTAAATCAAGAGCCCCTCACCAGTATCAAGGAATCTCCTCTGAGGGGAGTCTCATTATTGGAACAGCTACATAATAGAGGTGTAGGTGCACTGTCCATTGACATTTCCTTTCAGTATACTTTTAAGGTGGGAAAGTCTTCCCTAGTAATATCTGTTAAATTCTGTATGCTGGTTTATTAATATAGTGTATGTTAATGAGCATTGTTTATTGAGTATACAGTAGACCGTTGTTTAACACGGTTTTGTTTGGCACGTTTAAGTTATAGCACTATTGAAGAATTGCTGCATATTTTTGTATAACACTTCGTAAAATTAACTTTACACGGTTTAGTTTGAGTAAATATGAGTTTGTGATGACTGACTTATTGACTGACTGACCAACTTACTTGACTAACTAATTGACTTACTGACTGAATTACTGATTTACTGACTTGACTTGACTTTGGACTTGACTTGACTTGACTTGACTTGACTTGACTTGACTTGACTTGACTGGACTGGACTGACTGGACTGGACTGGACTGGACTGGACTGGACTGGACTTGACTGGACTTGACTGGACTGGACTGGACTGACTGACTGACTGACTGACTGGACTGGACTTGACTGGACTGGACTGGACTGGACTTGACTGGACTTGGACTTGGACTTGTATCATGTGGGGTTCGAACACGTGGATAGGGTAAAGTAATACTCACGTAGGCTGGTAGTACGTATAATTACGGATAATGTGGGGAGCGCCCAAACAGCCGGCCTGCCTCCTTGCTCACTCTCGTATAACTGACCGCCCACAGTACCCATATGTGAGGGGGTCTTTGAATACTGCTGTGGTCAGCACAATATGAATACAGACAGTGACTCAGGCAGAGACGGTTGGTAGTGAGTCATCTACTGGTACACTGGTTACTGGTAACTGGTTACTACTACTGAGACTTGGACTTGGACTTGGACTTTGACTTTGACTTGACTTGCTGATGTACTGACTTAGTGACTTGACTTACTGATTTGACTGATTTATGCACACTCCAGTACAACCATCAACTTCAGTACCAGAACCTCTACCATCCACCTCAGCCCAGTAGGTCCACAACATAACTCTCCACTCTCTTCACAATCATCCACAAACACCAGCACCCACAGTTAAAGGTAAGAAATACTATTATTTCTATTGCATTTGTAATCTTAAGCAGTAAAAACAACATAATACATCATGACAATGAACTACAATTACATATTCACTTTTATTTTTGTAAGATCTGTTTGTCTAAAAAAAAAAAAAAAGTTGTTCGGCTTTTTGGGGGCTTCCAGGAACATAACCCCTATTTTCCTATAAGTTTTTCAGTTTGTCTAACATGGTTTTAACTACCGTGGCGTTTTCAGGAACGTAATTACCGTGTTAACCCTTTGACTGTTTTGGTCGTATATATACGTCTTACGAGCCACTGTTTTTGACGTACTATATATACAGTGGAACCTCTACTTACGAGTTTAATGTGTTCCAAGACCTTGCTCGCAACTGGATTTGCTCGTTTGCAGAGTCGATTTTCCTCATTTAAATTAATTGAAATGCAATTAATCCGTTCCAGTGGAATTCTGTACTTCAATAATTTCACTAATATCAGCTCTACGGCTTATTTATCTATCTCACTACATCTAATATGACATAATAAACAATATAAATAACACAAACCTGAAATATACTCTTAAGATGAATAAAATGTACAGTAGACCGTCATTTAGCACGAGTTTGACTGACTGACTTACTGACTGGATGACTTACTGAATGACTTGACTGACTTACTGAATGACTTGACTGACTTACTGAATGACTTGAGACTTACTGAATCACTTGACTGACTTACTGAATCACTTGAGACTTACTGAATCACTTGACTGATTTACTGAATCACTTGACTGACTTTCTAAATCACTTGACTGACTTACTGAATCATATGATTGAATGACTTAAAGTTAGACACTCCAGTACAACCATCAACTTCAATACCAGAACCTCTACCATCCACCTCAGCCCAGTAGGCCACAACATAACTCTCCACTCTCTTCACAACCATCCACAAATACCAGCACCCACAATTTAAGGTAAGAAATGCTATTATTTTTATTACATTTGTTTACTCTGAAACATAGCCAAGCAATGGACCATTTCTCCTACGTTGAGCTGAATTTCAGTACTTTCGTCGGAAAGCAATCAAAATCATATCTATTTCTGTAATATATCTTCCATTCTATCAAATGAGATAAAAAAAACGAGAATACAACCATAAAAACCATACGAAATACCGCTAAGGGGTGACTAATTGCTGAGAAGTGAACTCCATTATTTATGCTTAGATTTCTTTCATTTTTGGTGTACGTTAAGAAGCATCTTTCCATCATACATTGCCCAAGTTTCAATAAGATAGTCCAACAAACAAATGAGATACAAATCCCGAGAGCAAGAGCCCCTCACCACTGTCAAGGAACCTGCCTTGAGGTCTGCTCGCTTATGGAAATTTTGCTTGCGTATGGAAGCAAAAAATCGACCCATTGACTGCTTGTATTTAGAAAAACTCGCACATGGACACACTCGCAAGTAGAGGTTCCACTGTACTCATAAATTCTAGCGGCTTCAAATCAAGCAGGAGAAAGCTGGTAGGCCCACATGTGAGAAAATGGGTCTGTGTGGTCAGTGTGCACCATATAAAAAAATCCTGCAGCACGCAGTGCATAATGAGGAAAAAAAAACTCCGACCTTTTTTTTTTTCTTAGTTAAAATGCCAAATTTGTGGTCTATTTTCATATAGTATCTATGTTTGTATTCTTGTTTTCTTGGTCTCATTTGATAGAATGGAAAATATATTATAGAAATAGAGGTGATTTTGATTGGTTTTACTATGAAAAGAACCTTGAAATGGAGCTCAAAGTAGGGGAAATGTTTGATTTTTGCTGATGTTCAAACATTAACAAATGATGTCATTTTCCAATAAATGTCCAAGTAGCCATTCTAATATGCAGTCATGAATGGGTTGACATTATTTATACAATTATTACAATATTACAGTAGTCTGCATAACAGTAAATCTTCTATTTTTTTGTTTGAATAAAAATTCAAAATAGAAAGCAAGAGTAATATCAGAGGGGCCTGGAGATGTGACTGATGAACAAAGAAAATATTATTTTAGAGCCAGGAATGTATGCATTGTTCATTTTGGACCCTATTTTGAAATTGTCATATTTTTTAATTTTCGTGAAATGGCCAAATTGCAAATTTCTGACCACGTTATTGGGTAGTTGAAATCAGTAAATGGGCAGTTTCTTGTACTCAATCAATAGAAAAAATGGAGTTCTAAAGAAATAGCTATGAGTTTGGTCAACTGGAACAATGGAATTAGCCGAAAATAGGGCTCCAAGGGGGTGAAATCGCCGCGGTCACTAACTTTGCGAGAGCGTAATTCTATCAGTCTTTCATCAAATTTTGTTTTTTTGGTGTCATTACAATCAGGAAAAGATTCTCTATCATTTTTTTTTTTTTTTTTTTTTAAATTTTGAAATTTTGCAACACCAGGAGACACCTCAGGATTTGGAGTTGCAACAGTCAGGGGGTTAAATGATGGTCTGCTGTATTAATGAGCATTGCTTGTATTCAATTACATTTCTTCTTTCTTTCAACAAACTGGCTGCATCCCACCGAGGCAAGGTAGACCAAAAATAAAAACAAAAGTTTCTCTTTTTAACTTTAGTAATGTATTCAGGAGAAGGGGTTACTAGCCCTTGCTCCCAGCATTTTAGTTGCCTCTTATGACACACGTGACTTGCAGAGGAAAAATTCTGTTCCACTTCCCTATGGAGATTCAAATACACATGGGAACTTAAAAAAAAAAAAAAAAAAAGCAGAAAAAAATATCAGGATTTTTTTATCCACTTAATTATCCATTTCATTTTTTTAGCAAAATGCTGTGCCACAAATGTGTGTGTATTCATCTTTTTAGTATTGCACATCGAATGTATATTGTATACTTCTGTAATGATGAAATTTGCTGCTATTAAAATGCTGTGTCACAGGAACACTTTGTGGCAGCACTTCCAATTTCTTTTCTCTTCCATCTGTTATATTAATTATATTATTGTATACTCTGGTATACAGAAGAACCGATAACCTTCCAATTCATACAGGTACGGCAAAGATGGTGTAATTGAGATACAAAGTTCTCCTCGGGAAACTCGAATGTTCAACGGCCGTAACTACATCATGGAGGAGGCAATTACTGGGGACTTCGCTCTCATCAAGGCCTGGAAAGCTGACAAAGCAGGCAACCTCATCTTCAGGTGTGATCAGATGTTTTTCATGTGTGAAGTGTTAAGACTGGTCTGGGAGGCAGCACTATTAACACCATGATCATCATTAACACTATGAACCTCGTTAACACCATGATCATCATTAACACATCAACCCTGTAATATTTATTTTCATATCTGTTCTGGAACTTCAACATGACATTTTTCTATATAGGCAGCAGTATGCTGAATTATAGTACAGGTCCGCCATCACAAATCCGGCAATCAGATATCCGGTTCCATCAGTTATTCAGCACTAATTTCAGCTAGCATAATTTCAAATTTCCAGGGTCACCACACCAACCTGCTGGTACTGTTTGGTGGTGCTACTTGCTGCATAAGTCATTCCAATTTCTTTTTCTCCATTTATTGTTATAACCTGTTTACTTTTAGCCCTAGCCATGGTTCCAACAAATAAAAGAAATGCTTCTCGTTGTGTAAAGCACCTACACAGTACATTGTCCATTAAAGATAAGGTGGCTTTGAAGCACTGTCGGTTGCCATGAGCACAGTCTCGTGATGCAGGGGAATGTATGCTTTATTATTATGCTAATATCAACACTACGGCATATTTGCCTATCACAATTGATGTAATATGACATAATAAACAATATAAATAACATAAAAACATGTTAAATACTCCAGAATAAACAATATTTGGCAAAATATTGAGCATTTGACAGAGGTATGAAGAGGATATGGTATACAAGTACCATTCTCCTATCCCTGTCTTGGAACTTATATTAGAGAAAATGGAGAATAGCACAGGGCTAACTATGATGTACACTTGTACTGCACCATAAAACTGAAACAAAAAAGCTATTTTCTCTACATAGATCATCACACATAGCAGCATGTGTAGAGAACTAGGATAACCCAAGAGTCAAAGTGGCTTATTTCTAGTACCTAACTTGGGCTCACCATATATGATTTTTGGTAAATATTCGATTCCCAGCCAGGGTAGAAACATTGGGCGTGTTTCTTTACACCTGTTGTCTATGTTCACCCATCAGTAAATGAGTACCTGGGTGTTAGTGGACTGGTGTGGGTGTTATCCTGGGATACTGACCTAATTTGCCTGAAATGCTTAGCATAACAAGGGGCTTTCTGTATAGTACATCACTGATGTCAGCTAGGCCTGTGTATTATGTACACGTCTTTCTTTCTTTCAACACACCGGTCGTATCCCACTGAGGCAGGGTGGCCCAATAGGAAAAACGAAAGTTTCGCCTTTTAAATTTAGTAATATATACAGGAGAAGGGGTTACTAGCCCCTTGCTCCTGGCATTTTAGTCGCCTCTTACAACACACATGGCTTACAGAGGAAGAATTCTGTTCCACTTCCCCATGGAGGTAAGAGGAAATAAACAAGAACAAGAACTAGTAAGAAAATAGAAGAAAACCCAGAGGGGTGTGTGTATATATATGCTTGTACATGTATGTGTAGTATGACCTAAGTGTAAGTAGAAGTAGCAAGACATACCTGAAATCTTGCCTGTTTATGAGACAGAAAAAAGACACCAGCAATCCTACCATCATGTAAAACAGTTACAGGCTTTCATTTTACACTCACTTGGCAGGACGGTAGTACCTCCCTGGGCGGTTGCTGTTTACCAACCTACTACCTAGAACTATGTACATGTACGTGTAGTAAATAAAGATATTATTATTATTATTTTTTTTCTCTCAGTTGTTTGTTGGGCTATCTTATTGAAACTTGGGCAATGTATGATGGAAAGATGCTTCTTAACGTACACCAAAAAATGAAAGAAATCAGACCATAAATAATGGAGTTAACTTCTCAGCCATTTCGGCACCATAGCGGTATATTTTCATATGGTTTTTATGGTTGTATTCTCATTTTTTTTTTTTGTCTCATTTGATAGAATGGAAGATATATTACAGAAATTGATATGATTTTGATTGTTTTCACGACGGAAAGTACCTTGAAATTTCGCTCACAGTAGCGGAAATGTTTCATTCTTTAGCGATGTTTAACCCTTTCAGGGTCCAAGGCCGAAATCTGAAGTGGTGCTCCAGTGTCCAAGAAATTTTGAAAAAAAAAAAAAAAAAAAAATTTCTTACAGAATTAGAGTATATTTTTGTGAAGGTAATAAGACAAGAAAAAATTTTTCTGATCAGTACTTACCAAGATACAGTGCCGAGAAGTTGACCCCAAATGACGTGGTGGCGGCAACATCGACGATTTCCACATACACGCATTACTTTATTTAACGTTTTTCATAGTTTTTTCTTTTCTTTCTAATTTTTTCTTTTCCTACTAACATTTGGGGCCTGAGAGACCAATACTGTATATAATGTATATATATGAACTCACTGTATTGAACACAATAACTTCACTAAAGTTATTATCATATTATTGTTTACCACTGTTGTTTGTTACAATAAACATGCACAAATCTTGTATAATACTAATGTTCTATCATATATTTACATATTTACAATCACTGGACATGGTTTTAGAACTGCTGGAGCTTGTGGAACTCCTTGAAACAAGGCACCATGCACAGAGGTACCTTACATTCCTCACACATAAACCGAGTGTCTTTGCATCTTTGTTGCCGTCGTTTTTGTTTGTGCACAGACGATGCATCTCTTCTGAGCAAATTTCTTCTGAGTTGAAGGAAGCTGTATTATGAAATGATCACCTTCCCTCCTCAAACGCTTAGGTATATCCTGAGGAGTTCGAGGACCTTGTTGTATAGCAGGTGTTCTTACCTGGTACTTCATTATGAGTTGTCTGACAACAGACAAACAAAATTCACCATACGGTGGTCTGTTGCCAGTCTTCATTTGGTACATATTACAGTGGACCCCCGCTTAACGATCACCTCCAAAAGCGACCAATTATGTAAGTGTATTTATGTAAGTACGTTTGTACGAGTATGTTTGGGGGTCTGAAATGGACTAATCTACTTCACAATATTCCTTATGGGAAAAAATTCGGTCAGTACTGGCACCTGAACTTACTACTGGAATGAAAAAAGTTCGTTAACCGGGGGTCCACTGTATATGCATTGAGCACTGAAATGTCCATGAGATGGAAGAAAAGTTTCATGTACCACTTGTAACTTTTACAAACACAATCAACAAAGCCAATCTGCATGTCACATTTGTCAACCAAGCGCATGTTTTGTGTATAATCAATCACTGTCACTGGTTTTCAAATACGCTCATTAGTCACTCGATCAACTTTGCTACTGTCTTGCATTTCATTATGGTGAATGGTTGTCAACAGTGTGACATCTCGTTTGTCATGCCACCATAATGCCATGATGTCATTGGCAGTAAACACCTGCACATCATCACCACGAGCACCTGCGTTGAGCCTGGGCTTATGTTTACGATTAGAACGCACTGTGCCACACACATCTGTCTTGTTCACTCGCAAGAAATCACTGAGTAATGGGCTTGTGTACCAGTGATCGGTGTATAATGTATGCCCCTTACCAAGATAAGGTGCCATCATGCTTCTCACTACGTCACCTGAGATACCCAATAACATCTTGGTATCTTTCAATGTTTTACTTCCCGTGTATACAACAATATCCAATACCAGGCCACTATCACAGTCACAGAGTACAAACAGTTTTATACCAAAGCGTTTCCTCTTGCTTGGTATATACTGCTTGAATGACAGCCTACCTTTGAACAAAATCAAAGACTCATCAATTACAAGATTCTTGAATGGATAAAAGTACATGCTGAACTTTTGTTTAAGATACATAAAAACATTCTAATCTTGTATAACCTGTGACTTCTGTCAGGCCTGGTTTTGTCAGAGAAGTGCAACATACGTAACAGTAGGATAAACCTGTTCACTGGGATGATTTCACTGAAGACCGGGGTAGAAATTAGCCGATCTGTGGACCAGTATGCTTTTATATTATGCTTATAGACATGAGGCATAAGCATTATTGTTGCAAAAAGCAAATACATTTCTGCAACAGTCGTCTCTTTCCACCGGTGTAGTCTTGACTGTGGTGATATGATTGTATTTGCCATGGTGTACTCAAGATACTTGTTACTTTCCCTGACAATAGTTTCCATCAATGGCTGGTCAAAGAATAGTTTAAAGAATTCCAGTTCATTTGGAGTGTTTCCAAGGGGACAAGTTGGTAGAATTCCACTTTGAGAGTCATCAAACTGTTGGGGCTTGGGAACAAAATTGGGATTTTGCTGCCAATCCCAGATAGGGTTTGATGGTGGATACTGGACATCATAGGCTGGTTGTGCGGGTAGTTGTGGTTGTTGTGGGCTGGTGGCTGACGCTCCGCTTTGTCCTTGAACTGCGGAGTCAGTAACATGGGTCCCAGCCTGGGCTGGCGAGTCACGCATGGCCGTGGCACTACCATCACCAGTACCACCATCTACTGATGCCTGTGGTCTATCCATGCCAAGTGTAGCCACATCATCCTCACTGTCACTATTTATAACTGGTGTAGGGCCACGGGATGTACTTCGGGATGTACTCCTTCCCCTGAGCACGGCATAGGGTACACTACCCGAGCTCATGCTGCGGCGTACATACCGACACTTCACTGGTGAATATGTTTCCTCACTATCACTACTCGAATGATCGTCAAGAGCAATAAAATCACAATCCACGTCACTATCATCATCATTACTGAAGTCAGCCTGGCCACATGAAAATAATAGTTTTCTCTTGCGTTGAGGTACAACCGACCGTGACTGACGAGTGCCCTCACCAGAAGTAGAAGGTTGAGGATCGTCAGGGTTTTCTGCACTATTATCGATATCCTGGTCGTTCCTTTCGGTCACTAGCTGATCAAAGCCAAAGAATTCGTCTTCATTTTCACTTCCATCACTGTCAGAACTATCAGATAGGAACAGGAGAGTCCCAATTTTCCTTGGAGTGAGAGCTGCCTTGCGACGAGGCATGGTGAGCAAGGGTAACTGAGCCGGCATTCCCACAATGCTATGCGGGCGCCTAGATTTTTTGTTTATGGCGCACACCCACCACGCAGACCCGTTCTCTCACATGTAGGCCTATGAGCGTTTTCGTGCTAAATTTGAGGGCACTAGAATTTTGGCGTAGATCTACGGTTTGGACACTCAACGTGAAGCCGTAGATCTACGGGACAGACCCTGAAAGGGTTAAGTGTAAACAAATGACATCACTGTCTAATACGTGTGTGCCTGCCAGTCCAAATTCCAATACGCAGTCAAGAATGGGTTGACATTATTTATACAATTATTACAATAATGCACTAGTCTGCATAACAGTAAATCTTCTATTTTTTGTGTGAATAAAAATTCCAAATGGTAAGCAAGAGTAATATAAGAGAGGCCTGGAGCTGTGACTAATGACAGAGAAGATGTTATTTTAGTGCCAGGAATGTCTGCATTGTTAATTCTGGACCCTATTTTGAAATTGGCATCTGTTGAAATTTGTGTGAAATTGACCAAATTGCCAATTTCTGACAACTTTATTGGGTAGTTAAAATAGGTGAATGGGTGGTTTCTTGTACTCAGTCGACAGAATAGAAGTAATTAAATAAGTAAGTTTATTCAGGTATACACAAATAGTTACATAGATTATCATACATAGCAGTGTATGTATAGAGAACCTAGGATAACCCAAAAATAAGTCATTGACTTATTTCCAGTACCTGGCTTGGGCTTGCCATATATGATTTTTGGTAAATATTTTTTTTTCTCAGTTGTTTGTTGGGCTATCTTACTGAAACTTGGGCAGTGTATGATGGAAAGATGCTTCTTAACGTACACCAAAAATAAAAAATAAAACGGACGATAAATAAAGGAGTTCACTTCTCGGCCATTAGCCACCTCTTTATGGTATATTTTCGTGTGGTTTTTATGGTTGTATTCTCGTTTTTTTTTTGGTCTCATTGATAGAATGGAAGATGAAAAATACCTTGAAATTGAGCTCAAAGTAGCGGAAATGTTTGATTTTTGCCGATGTTCAATGAACTTTTTGTAAATCAAGTTGGTTAATTATATTAAGTGTATTCTAATCTAACCACTCTGTAATCCAGCAAACTCAGTAATCCAGCACACTACAGGTCCCAATGATGCTGGATTTGTGATGGAGGACCTGTACAGAACACTCAAATTAAGTTGCAATAAACAACTGTACAGCCTCTCCTCACTTAACGACAGAGTTCGTTCCTAAGACCACATTGTTAAACGAGTTTGTCACTGAGCGAGGAGCATACTATAACGATAGTGAGTTTGTGTCAACCATCTTTCATATTTATAACATTTCTGGTATATTTTTAAAGTTTACACAGTAGTGTACTGTATATTGAAATAAACAGAATAGAGGAAATCAGCTCTAATATACATTATATAGGTATGAATACTGGTCAGAGAGCCTGTCGTAAGTCTGAGTGGTCGGTAAATGAGTATGTCGCTAAGTGAGGAGAGGCTGTATATATATATTTTGCTCTATGCCTGGTAAGATAAGATCTATTGCATTTTTATACAGTGGACCCTTGGTTTTTGTGAGTCTCAGTTTTCATGAATTTTGGTTGTCAGCAACTTTTTTCATCAAAATATAACCTTGGTTTTCGTGATTTCCCTTGGATTTCGGCGGTCATATGGTACATGTCCCAGTGGCCCCTCGCACACAAGGCCTCCCACAGATGCATTCAAGAGTCAATCTGGCGTTGTTTCTTGGCGAGTGAGCATCACTCCCCGCTTTCATACGAAACATTTCATAATAATCCATTGTTTTTGTGCTTGTAACTGCTAAATTAGCCACCATGGGCCCAAAGAAAGCTTCTATTGTCAGCCCTTTGGTAAAGAAGGTGAGAAACATGATAGAATTAAAGAAAGAAATCATAGAAAAATATGGAAGTGGTGTATGTGCAGCTGAGCTTGCCAGGATGTATGGGAAGCCCCATTCAACGATCACTTCCATCGTGGGGAAGAAAAAGGAAATCAAGGAAGCTGATGTTGCAAAAGGGGTAAATGTGCTAACGAAACAGAGATCACGGATGTGGAGAAATTGTTGTTGGTGTGGCTCAACCAAAAACAGTTAGCAGGAGATAATGTTGTGCAGTCGATAATTTGCGAAAAGCCAAGGCAGTTGCATGCTAATCTCGTAACAAAAATGCCTAGAACAGGTGCTGATGTTAGTGAATTTAAGGCCAGCAAAGGCTGGTTTGAAAATTTCAAGAAGCGAAGTGGCATACACAGTGTTGTAAGGCATGGTGAGGCTGCAAGCTCGGACAGACATGCGGCTGAAAAATTTGTGCATGAATTCAAGGAATACATAGAGGCTGAAGGATTCCTACCCCAACAAGTGCTCAATTGTGACAAAACAGGCCTCTTTGAAGAAAATGCCAAAGAGGACCTACGTTGCGCAGGAGGAATGGGCACTGCCAGGACGCAAGCCTCTGAAAGACAGGCTAACTCTCTTGTTGTGTGGTAATGCTAGTGGGAATTTCAAAGTGAAGCCTTTACTGGTGTATCACTCTGAAAATCCCAGAGTGTTCAAGAAAAACAGTGTTGTCAGGAGTAAATTGTGTGTGATGTGGAAGGCTAACAATAAGGCATGCATCACGAGGGAAATTTTCCTTGATTTTTTCAGTGGAGTGTTTGGCCCGAGTGTGAAGAAATACGTCCTGGATAATGAATTGCCACTCAAGTGCCTCCTGGTAATGGACAATGCTCTTGCTCATCCTCCAGACTTGGATGACCAATTGTTGGAGGAGTTCAGTTTCATCACAGTGAAGTTCTTGCCCCTAATACCACTCCTCTCATGCAGCCCATGGACCAGCAGATCATTTCAAACTTCAAAAAACTCTACACCAAAGCAATGTTTCAAAGGTGCTTTGACGTGACCTCGGACACTGAATTGACCCTAAGAGAGTTCTGGAAGGATCACTTCAATATCCTCATTTGCATAACCCATATAGATCAGGCATGGCAGGGAGTGATTTCCAGGACGATGAACTCTGCTTGGAGAAAATTGTGGCCAGAATGTGTCCAGGAGAAGGATTTTGAAGGGTTTGGGGCTGACCCTGTCAACCCTGCACCTGTTATAGAATGTATTGTGGCATTGGGGAATTTCATGGGGTTGGATGTGAGTGGCCCGGATGTGGAAGAGTTGGTGGAGGACCACAGTGAAGAGCTAACCACTGAAGAGCTACAAGAGCTTCATCTGCAACAGCAACAGACTACAGCTGAGGAAATTGCTTCACCGGAAGAGGAAGAGAGGGTAGAAGGTGCCTTCTTCAAAGATTAAGGACATTTGTGCAAATTGGAGTGAGGTGCAAACATCTATGGAGGAACATAACCCAAACAAAGCTGTTGTAGGCTGTGTCTGCGACGTGTTCAATGACGATGCCTTGTCCCATTTTAGGCAACTCTTAAAGAGATGCCAGAAACTGAGCTCTCTGGAACAGTTTTTTGAGTGACATGGGTCCAGTGACTCTCAAGCTGGTCCTAGTGCCATTAAAATACAAAGAAGGGAAGTAACCTTGGATAAGGACCCAGCACCCACTTTATGGAAGGGGATTCCCCTTCCAAACAATAGTAACTTCTTCCATACACCAACAAGAGTCTTCAATAATGGTAAGTGTGATGTTATTATTGCTTTACTACATTGATTTGTCATTCTTTTCTATATTTAAATCTATATTTAATCTCTAAAAAAATTATTTTGTTAATACTTTCAGGTGTCTGGAACGGATTAATTGGATTTTACATTATTTCTTATGGGGAAAATGGTTTTGGTTTTCGTGAATTTTGGTTTTCAGCAGACTCTCTGGAACAGATTAATCACGAAAACCAAGGTTCCACTGTATAGTATGTACAGTATTTGGCATTAATATTCCTAATGTAATTTTAACATAGAAAATATTTCTTTGGAGTTGGTTATCACATGGTACACCCACATTGGATGATTTTCCTGATAAATTTATAACCATCACCTCCCACCCTTCAGAACCTACTTGCTCTCTCAGGTGAGTGGTCATCTATCAAGCATCCTCATTTTATCCATTTGTATGTAATAGTACATACTGCAGAATATAATAAAACTTAATTTCACTTTAAAGGGGTGCAATGATCATAGGGAAGGGCTCCTTATCCGAGGAATAAATCAACAGCCATCTTCAGGGTGACCCTAAGAAGAAAACACATTCACCATCATTCACTCAATTTCCATTTGTGCAAAGTCCATGATCATCACTGGAAAGATGGCTATTGAGTGCATGATGGTGATTTTTTTTTTTTTTTTTTTTTTTTTTTTTTTTTTTTTTTTTTTGAGGGGGATGTCATCCTGCCTTGGGGTGAAACAGCTATTGAGTTTAAGAATATTATTATTTTAGTTCAATAATAATCATTTACTAGTAAGTCACATAAAGCACAACCATTAGTTAGTAACACAAAGCAAAACCAAAAGTTGTTTATATTTTTAACACACCATGGTGACCCAGAAGACAGAAAAGGAATATTCATTATCATTCATTCAATCACTGTCTTCCAAAAGTATGTTGACATTTCAGTTCAGATGATTCTCCAAACTGCAGCTTCCTCACCCCTCCTTCAAAGTACAGGCACTGTACTTCCCATCTCCAGGAATTTTACAATATTGGATTAAAAAAATGCACAAAAAATATCTAAACCTCTCCCAACATAATGACTAGGTAATGTAGGGTTTGAGTGACATTAGCACTTTGTCAACAGAAAGACAACACGCAACTTCAACCTGCCAATGTGTAAGGCTGCAGAAACAACTATAGTGGAAGTAGAAGAAATAGTGGAAATTGGTGACATCCCAGACGATTCAGTCCACATACCTGCCATATATGTTGATCGCATTGTCTTAGGAGAGAAATATGAGAAGAGGATCGAGGTACATCAGTGAAAAGGATGCTGTTTATTGTGATTAATTTTATATTTATGTTTGAAGCTTTTATGGGCATTAAGCTTATCACATGACAAGTAGCTAGTGACTGTTACTGGGCTTGTTAATTACAATTTGGCATTTTATTGATCTTTATTTTCTGTACTGTCTTCAGTGCCTTCATTAGTTTTTTTGTATGCCCCAGAATCATTTACATGTGTGGGCTTAAGTATCTCTTGTCTACTTACCCAGTACCTTGTGATAATTGCAACCACTCTTATTGGTAGCGTCTGACCCTGCGCAAGGAGAAGAAGAAGAGTGCAGCAGCTTCTAATCCTGCAGTGGCTATGAGAGAGCGTATTGTGAGAAGAGCAGCTTTGGAATTCAAGGATGGCATGTATGCCAATCTTGGTATTGGAATGCCCATGCTTGCCAGTAACTACATTCCTGATGGTTAGTGTTTTCTCTCTCTCTCTGTCTCTCTCTGTGTCTCTATCTCTATATATCTCTTTATATCTCTGTCTATCTCTATATCTCTCTATCTCTATATCTCTTTGTCTATCTCCATATCTCTATCCCTATAAACCATACCCCCGGCCGGGATTGAACCCGCGGTCATAGAGTCTCAAAACTCCAGCCCGTCGCGTTAGCCACTAGACCAGCTAGCCACAATAAGATTCATCCAACTAGGTATATTTCTACACCATAGGAAAGTTAGCACAGGCACCTCTGTGACCACAAATGCAAGTTTTTACAGACGAATCTCCAGCTAGCGTGGCCGTGACGAACTCTAGCTCAAGTCCCTTCACTGCCGTCAACATGACTCAAGAAATCGTAATGACACGATTGCAAATAAACCATACCCCCGGCCGGGATTGAACCCGCGGTCATAGAGTCTCAAAACTCCAGCCCGTCGCGTTAGCCACTAGACCAGCTAGCCACAATAAGATTCATCCAACTAGGTATATTTCTACACCATAGGAAAGTTAGCACAGGCACCTCTGTGACCACAAATGCAAGTTTTTACAGACGAATCTCCAGCTAGCGTGGCCGGGGGTATGGTTTATTTGCAATCGTGTCATTACGATTTCTTGAGTCATGTTGACGGCAGTGAAGGGACTTGAGCTAGAGTTCGTCACGGCCACGCTAGCTGGAGATTCGTCTGTAAAAACTTGCATTTGTGGTCACAGAGGTGCCTGTGCTAACTTTCCTATGGTGTAGAAATATACCTAGTTGGATGAATCTTATTGTGGCTAGCTGGTCTAGTGGCTAACGCGACGGGCTGGAGTTTTGAGACTCTATGACCACGGGTTCAATCCCGGCCGGGGGTATGGTTTATTTGCAATCGTGTCATTACGATTTCTTGAGTCATGTTGACGGCAGTGAAGGGACTTGAGCTAGAGTTCGTCACGGCCACGCTAGCTGGAGATTCGTCTGTAAAAACTTGCATTTGTGGTCACAGAGGTGCCTGTGCTAACTTTCCTATGGTGTAGAAATATACCTAGTTGGATGAATCTTATTGTGGCTAGCTGGTCTAGTGGCTAACGCGATGGGCTGGAGTTTTGAGACTCTATGACCGCGGGTTCAATCCAGGCCGGGGGTATGGTTTATTTGCAATCGTGTCATTACGATTTCTTGAGTCACTCTATCCCTATATCTCTCTCTATCCCTATATCTCTCTCTATCCCTATATCTCTCTCTATCCCTATATCTCTCTCTATCCCTATATCTCTCTCAATCCCTATATCTCTCTCAATCCCTATATCACTCTCAATCCCTATATCTCTCTCAATCCCTATACCTCTCTCAATCCCTATATCTTTTTTTTTTTTTTTTTTTTTTTTTTTTCACAGGGTTTGACAAGGTTAGGGATCCCTAGCTTTGACAAGCTATTTACAGGTTAAGGATTCCTAACTTTATTGGCAAGCTAAGAGCTGTTACCTACATCAGCTCATTTGAAAGCATTTTTATTGTTATGAGACATAAAAGTAGGGAACAGGATGAAGTTGGCCACCCTGGTCATCCTGGGTATGTATGATCTCAGATGGAGTGAAGTTCTGGAGAAGGGTACAGCCAGAGTGAAGTTGCTGCTTTCTGCCCATCTTGTGGCATAAAAGCTTGTTTCACGCTGTCCTCGAAGTGGATCCAAGTGTGGTACTTTGACAATATTGGCCTTGTACATAACAGTGAGGCCACCCACATCCCTCCTATGTTGAAGGCTCTGCTGAAATGACAGATCTATCCAGGATGGGTCCATGCGAGAGATGAGACGTCTTGCTCTGTTCTCTACTCTGTCAAGCAGTCGCAGATGAGAGGGGAGGCAGGCAAACCAAGAAAGTGGAGCATACTCAAGGTGCGAGCGTACTTGTGCCTCGTACAGAATCTTGCAACCCCTACTGTCAAGTAGATGCGAGATACGGCGAAGTGCTGTAAGCTTCCTGGCTGCCTTGTTTGCAAGATTTACAACATAGTTCTTCATGGTTAGTTTGGAGTCAAATTTCACCCCAAGGATATCAACTTCTTCTCCAGGTGCCAACACCCTCCCATTCATCCTTACTACTGCACCAGCATTACCATCATGGTGCCTAGAGACGATCATCATTTGCGTTTTCTCAGGTGCAAATGTTACTTGCCATCTATTTTCCCAAGCTGATATAGCTCTCAGCTGGTAATTGATGTAGCTTAGAGCAGCTGGCATTTCTTCTCTTGGATAAGTGAATGTCAGTGTGCAGTCGTCTGCATATGCATGTGATTCTGGATGAGATGAAGAAGGTCGTTGAAGTAGACATTCCATAACAGTGGTCCCCGCACGCTTCCTTGTGGAACACTTGACC